AAAGGGAGGAAAAAAAAAAAAAAAAAAAAGCCACAGTGGGTAACACTTTGTGTTCATGATGAAAAGGACTGCCCTGGAATAAGGACCAGGCTGGATAAGCCTGAATCTTTAGGCCAGCTCACTTTTGAGTATGATCATCAAAGAGGTTCTTCTGAGATACTTTGGGGAATTTGTTTTAGATTCCCAGGGCTGGACTGGTCGTGGTAGAGACTCTGCAGTGCTCCTTGGGATATAAACATTGCTGAAGAGTTGTATTATAGAGTACTTTAAAATGTCTACATATAGATCGTAAAAAATGCTACTAATCATGCAGAGCTGAGATACCTTCCGTATGGGAAATGGCAGATTTCTGCACTGGAGAAACACCAAACTGTCAGGCAGTGGAACTGGTTTAGCTTGGGTGTTGATAAGTAATTTAAGATATTCTAGAAGAACAGTTAGGAGCAAAATTACCTTGGGCTGAATGAGATGCATTCCTTTAGTTTCATGTAAGTAGAAGTATAAACAAAAACAAGCCTATAATTAAGGATCTCTTCAAGAGGACAAATGAATGAAACAAACCAGTGGAAGGTCTCGGGGCCTTTAGTGCAGATGGTGTCTAACCTCCTTTTCAAGTCAGCAGTGCTAATATTGTCAGCCAGACTTGGAGGAACAGACTTGACACCCAACTGGCTGAACAACTGCATTAAAAAGGATGCTGAGAATAAAACAACCAGACAGGAGGTGGAGAAAATAAACCTCAATGACTTTTTAGCTCAAGGTATACTATTATACGTTTTGGCCAAAAGATCTCCTGGGATGGGAGCTCGTCTCTGTGCCAGATTGGGAGCAGCCCAGTGCTTGAACACACCAGCTCACTGGGGTCCAATTAGGGTGGGAACCAGCATATCGGTGGCACTTCTCGCCTCCTTGGAGACACGCCTACAAAAAACTGTTTGTTTAGTCTAGCTAAATGATGGCTGGGTTGGAAGGGGGCTGCTGTGAGATAAATGCCAGGTAGAAGAGATATTTAAACAAATTATGAGGTTGGCACAGGGACAAATGGGTATAACCCAGCCACGAATAAATGGGAGGCTGGAAATGAGCACAGTCCTGGCCTGGAAAGCTCCCGAGTCTTCCCATCGTGGGGTTAAAGGAGAGAAAAAAGCTGAGATAATGTAAAGTGGGGCTAGATAAGAGAGCTGCAGGTGGGAGGAGTGAGCAACACATCAAAATTATTTCCAATGCTCTTCTGCCGGAGCAGTGTGAGGAGTTCACTCTCTGCATAGGCAGAAGATGTGGGGAGGCAACTATTTATTTTCCCTGATACACAGTGGTTTAGTTACCCACAGGAAAATACTTCATAATGAAGGCTACATCTTGTTGTCAGTGGTTAAAATATTGATACAGCGCTGCTGGATAAAAAATCAATGTATTTGGAGAGGTCTCTAATTATACTTTATGTAGTTCTGTGTATAGATGACTGATACCCTCCTGCACATAGATTTCCTTGGGATTTAAAAAGCTCACAAAAAAACCTCAACAAAAAAAGTAATTAATTCCCCTGGATGTTTTGTTCCATATACTGAGCTTTGGAACTACACAGAAACTAGGACATTTTTCTGATGTTTTTTCAGTTAAAGTAATATCCCCGATTCATACCAATCTTCCTTCATAATCTTTCCTATATATCATTATATTCCTTTTCATTCTCAGAAATGACAGCTACAAAAGCTACATGATATCTGGATAGCTAATTAACTCTGAGCACTGCATTCTTTTGCCCAATCCAATACAAATATCTGTTTGAGGTTCTCTCACTTTATCCTTCTAAAATGAGTTAATTAAAAATAAAGTATCCTGCCAGCTCAGCACATGAGTTCTTACAAGGCGGGGTTACATCCCACAGGGGAGCAGCAACAGCAATCCTGGACAAATACAAACTGGAAGAGATGTATTTACAATACAAGGTGTAAGATCACATTTTCTCCCGGGTATTTTAGGGGAAAGATACTTTGGTGGGGCAGCTGCGTGCAAGTGATGCTTTGTTACACCATAATTTAGGCAAAGTGATTCCAAGAAGTGTCTGCGCACGT